ATTTCGGAACAACGGTCCTCGTCTCGGGGAATTTCAAGCGTCCTCACCGAGTACATATACCTACCCGGAAAACGTTGGGATCGCTGCCAGTTTGATGGTCAGTGGCGTCTCTCCAGTCGGTCGGTCTAATATCGATCCTCGCCATCTGACGAACCAAGTTGGCGAGTCCCTTGACGTGAGGACTTGCACGCCTCCAGACTGAAAAAACGCGAGGTGTTCTATGCAACGGGAAGTCTGCGTCGTACGTCGGCGTGGGAAGGTTGAAGACGTCAAGGAGCCATTCGTTCGTATAGCAGCGCAATCGAGTTCCCGGCCGAGTCGAGTCGACGGCACACAGAGAACTGGCGGATCCTCGCTCTCTGGAACTAAGAACCTCGTGAGCATCTCTCTTCCCTTCACCCCGCATACCCCTTCGGTGTTGTGATAGTCCGCTCGATGTCGACCTCACCGCGGATGCTGGTGCCACAAAACTGGCTCCCGCCGTTCTTGACCTCGTCGTCGTCGTCGTTGTTGTTTCCCTTGTCGCCGTAGACGGTTGGCGACCATAAACTTCAACCGTGCACGTTCCGGATTAGACGGCCAGAGGTTTAGGAGCGACCACCGTGACCTGACTGGCGGCTTGGCCGATTCGGTCGCTTTCTTTTGAAACTATCTGTCGTGCCGGTGGACAGATCCGAAGCTCCTTGATTTAGTGACAGTCATTAGTGCGCATTCTCGGCTCATTGGCCAATTGATTGAGTAACGAAAGCGGTATTCTTGGGAACTTTGACAGCGGGAGAAGGTCGCTCTCAGGGGATACGACCTAGGGAGCGGCCTCCTTGCAACTCTGACTTCCGAGAATGGAGTTTGGAAGCGACTCGGCCCTTGTCGGAACGTGGGTCCGAGCGCTCATCGTGCTGACGGGAAGGGATTGGATTTGCAACGGAGAGCCGCATACGCAGAGACAGGGAAACAAGGTCTCTGAAGATCACAACGACGACACCGATCGGAATCGAATTTGTGACCGGGGGCGAAGCATCCCCGTCTGTCCGTTCTCCCCTGGCGTTTGTTAGCTACTCTGCGGGCAGCAGCAAAGCTCCCACCGCCGGCGCCGCCGCCGCCATCGGGGGAGCAACAGCCGGTGTGCGCCACAACTCCCACAAAGGTCCATCGGAAAGTAATGCGGTGAGTTCCCAACGCACCTCAGCGACGTTTCCTTCGAAACCTCGGGCAACCTTTCCACGACCTCCCGAAGCGAGAGCCAGCTCGCTCTGTTAACTCGCCCGTCAAGGCATGACGGTGGCAACCTTGGTGACGGTACCGACGACAGCGGCTCCGAGGGGGACCGAACAAGACATCTAGGCCGGGAGGTCCCGCTACACGGTGAGGACACACCCAGTGGCCTCAATTATCACTGATGCAGACTGAGGTCTTTGTGGTTTTTCCGTGGATCTTCGTTGGCCGGTCGACGGAGCGACCAACCGACTGACCGAGCAACTAGTCGCAGAGAGACAGTCTCGCGAGATGGGGAGCGAGCCGAAGATGAGCTCGATGGGCAGGCAGCCACGCTCAAGTATCTCGTCCCAACTAAAGTTAGTGTGCTCATCAACGTGGTCATGCCGTACAGTGGAGAAATCCGTCCCAGCAGTCTTGTTTGTCGGCGCGCTCACTCGCCCGCCATTCGTTCGTGAGGTCAATCCGGCTCCGATGTGACGGTTGACAGGGAAGCGCTAGAATAATAATCACAGGGAAACCAGGCCCAACGACCGACGGTCCATGTCGGATCTACGGAGCTTCTCGCTCAGAGGGACCTTTCGCTGAATCATCGGGATCCATCCTCTGTTTCTAAATTCAGCGGATTCGACTGAGAATCGAATCGAGGCGGCACGTAATTACAATAATAGTATAACGAGCAATTCACGAAATCCCCCCAAGCTCAACGAAACAACGAGCCGAAGAGCGGCCGAACGAATGCAACACTGATAATATCCATCGCAGGCGATCGAGGCGTTGGCTGGGTCGGTCTAGCGCTCGTCTTGGGCGTGAGTTGCATAATGTGTCGCCGTCGTCGCCTGAGAGAAATTGCTGCTGCTGCAACACGTGCCGCCCAAAGCCCTCGCTACGACAACGGTAGCACGGGGGCTTCTGCTTAATGAGCATCTGCGGGACTGCTTTGTCCTCGTCGGCGTCATCGTTCCCTCCTACCCTCGTTGTATGTAGTCAAGGCAGCGTTTCGGAGAACAGATCTCCACAGAAAGTGAAGCTTGCGATCGAGCGCACGAGAGAGGCATCGCTCAAAGTTCTCAAGCGCGGCAGTTCGAGTTCCAGTACGGCTTACTGTGCGGGTTCGAAAATTGTGGAAACCACGAGTCGATTCGCGATATTCGATTGGGTTTGACGCCTCGGGCTCGACGTGCAAGAGAAAGACTTTCCCCGCAGACTTCGACATTGGAATGCTCCTCGAGGCTCGAGCGGGGAAGAGCGCCTATAATAGCGGGATTTTGAGGAAAAAGCATTGCGGAGGCCTTCGGGGCCGCACCAGAAGCGACTGAGTGAGTATCGCGTGAGCGCTCATCTCCTCGACTAGAACACTGACCAGCCACCTAGGTGACTGCTCGTTGGCCTGAAGCTTGTACGTCTGTCGCTTAGTCGGTCGGTCGGTCCGTCCGTCTGCCTGTGTGTGTCCGTTTCTAGTCGCGACTCGTGGAACTGATGGTCGCTAGTCTCTCTCTGGTGCATGCAGCCGACTGTCAGGTGGTCGATTCGTACGCCCGCCGCAGGTACTTCAAAGATCGTTGCTTGCGAGCTGACACTCCCCTCGCACACTGAGACAGCTCGAAGCGGGGAATTCTCTGAATATTTCGCGATCATCCGCGAGAATCGATCGCCTGAAAGCCCTCGCGAGCGGTGACTGAGCACAGAGCGCTTTACTAGGACGCAGTTTCTTCCACGTCTCATCCTTTGGTCGCATCTGTCGTCATGGACTTTATAAACTCGGTCGGCTCCATTTCTTTAGCAGGCCGGGTGCCTTCGTGTATAGGACAACTCCGTTGTGCGTAGATTGGGGGTCTTTATGTAAAACACGGCTTGCCCGAGCAGCCTCACACTCGCGGAGTCGGCTCAAGATTCTCGCACTTCCCCCCGCAAAAGCGCTCCGTTACTGGAATGGAATATTTCTCAATGCGCCCATTGCTGACCGCCCGTATTGAAGCAAATGAGCGATGAAGCCCCGCTTTGGGCTATGAGAGAGCCGAACCGGATGTCATCGGCAAGCCGGCCTGCGACTGGATCCCATGCTCGTATCCCCCGGCTGACGACCGTAGTGCCGGCCCTCTTCTGTGTCCTCCTCCGAAACTTGCTCGCCAAACCATGTTTGAAGGATTAGCGGAGCACGCTGTTGTGCAATATTGAGCCGATTTTCTGCTCATCCGAATATTTATATTAGTTAGAGGCTCCTGCTGGAAATCCGTCGGGAAACTAAATTCTTCGAACCGAATTCTGGCTGTCCCAAAATTCGACATCGCGCCTCATCTAGGTATTATTTTGTTACACGTCTCGGACATTCGCCGCCCGTCACACGGTATGGTTCAATTATTCATCTGTCGACTTCATGCATTTCGTTAAAGTAATCAAGGTGTGTCCTCTCGACGTAGCTCGAGCTCCGTCCGAGGCCCCAGTATGTACCTATCTCGCTTGTCTCACCCAAAGCATTCTCGGTGGGATCGACATCTGTACACGAAAGCATGAAGATTCTAAGGAAAGGCTGAGCCGCCGAGCGCGATGCGTCGGTGGGAAGAGAGGATGACATTCTGCGCGGTGTCGGCTCCTTCGGTGGTCGTTGTGCCGTTTCTTCTGGATAATGACTGTCCGTCGTCACGTGTAGCAGGTGCAATCATTTCACCAGCCCCGGCATTGCTACCCAAGTGCCACCAACGAGAGGAACGCTCGACAGCCAGTGCGCGCTCATGAGTTAATCGTGACGTAGATGTTCTATGGGCGAGTTCCTTCCTCCACCTAATAGATCTTAGAATAAGTACCAACTGCCTGAAGGGCAACACGTGCCACAGAAATTCGGAACAATCAACAGGAGAGCTTGGGAGATGCTCGCGCTTGAACATGAATGTCAAACATGGGTTCAATGGCGATCGCTCTGATATGCCTTCAATTTCCTCTAGAATAACCGCGACTGCCTCCCTCTAGTTCGAGTCTCTCTCAATTGCAAGCTTCCTAAGAATCAGGTTCGGAATAATGGAGGAATCTCTCGATTATCAGCGTCCCTCTCAAATAGGCGTCCTGGAGAATTCGTCTGAAATAAAAAAAACTTTCCCCTATCAGAAGCATCTCTCTATCAGAGTAGAGGCCCCGCTGTGTCACTAGGCCCTCGACACATCAACGGGGCCCGAATGTGCATGCGCAAGGCTCAACCCCCCTTCAGAGCGTAGAGAGAGAAAAATTCATAGTCGCACCGGGAATCATGTATTCATTGCGAATTTGTGCTACTCGACCCATCGAGCGAAAGCGGCAACGCACGCGATGATTCGTCCGCGGGAGCATTGACTGTGGAAGCCTCTCTCTGGGACAAACCTCTCTCTAATATGAACCTTCGACAACCGTTGTCGCATTTATAGAAGCCTCGCTCTATTATTAAGCTCTCTTCCATACAAGCCTGCCGGGAAGGGGGCTTAGAAAAAAATGAAGCCGGGCCTTTTAACGGAGACAATACGGTATAATCGGGGGAGGCCAAGGGGAGAGCCCGTTACGCGCAATCGATATGCCTTTCTTGGCCGAGGATGCTTCATCCTGATGCGAGTCCCTTGAGGAAATCGCGCGTCAGTTTTTGACATCGCCTATAAATCGCAAGCATCCCTCGAACTAACCCGATATGATTGAACCTACAGGCGGAGCGACGTCGAGGAGGAGCGGTCAGGCCATAAAGAGCCACAGGATAATCGTTTCCGCGGGACCTCCGGAAGTTTCGCTTCATTTGTTTCCGGCGTGTTTGCCCACCTCAGATCAGAGTTATGGGTGCGAACTGCTCATCTGCGCAGAAGAAGAAACGTGCCGGGTAAGCTTCCTCAGAAAGCATCTGAGGCGTAGATTCCCACGGTCCTAATCTCTCTGTCTCCGAATCAGTTTGTCCGACGAGGGAGCATGCGGCCGAGTGTGTTTAAATGGCGATGTAGCGTGGAAAGTCTCGAAGAAAAAAAAATCGTGCAATGAAATTCCAGAGCTGGCGATGATGCCGGGGGCGGTGCAGGTGGGCGTCGGGCCTCGTCCGAATCCGTGCCGTACGGTGAAGTGGATGCTCGACCAAATGAGCCGACCTTGTCGCATCCCGCAAGTTCGCTACCTCCCCCCACAATACAACAGTTACAACAGCCTCCGGCGCCCGCGACCCAGGTAAGGTTTCATGGCAGTCCGAATATTCCGAATATTATCACCTGCCTCATTTCCTGCGAAAGTCTTGCGAGTCGACGGGTCTCTACGGTCGTTAACGGCTCTGCGACTATCTCAGCCGCCGACCGCTACTCAACCGCAAGAAGAAGAGGTCCTGGACCAACAAACCTTCCCGGAAACAGTATTCCAACTACTCCGAGGACGGAATCCGTCCGAGCAAGCCGGTGTCGAAATGTTGTTCGCGAACATATCGAAGCAAGTGACCATCTATACGATTTCAACGGAAGACTGGCTGGCCGAGCGCAAGTTTCTCATGGAGAACGTCTTCAGTGGTGTTCGCGAAATGGCTCAGAAAATGGGGTGAGTGGAATCGTTCATACGACGTCGACAGATCCCACGCTGCGGCTCCACTCGATCAAGACGGGAAGCCCCGGCCTGTCCGGAGGGTTCTCACGTACGATGAGCGATCCCGCTCGATTGGTCTCGAGAGAGCCGTGGTGATCTGACGCTGCACCTCGAGTTCGAAGCTCAAAGCCATCGTTCCATTCGAGAGTCTATATCGTATCTAAGAGTGAAACGATAGTGATAACTCATCTGTTTTTCTCCAGATACGCTCTGAACTTCGTGGATCTCCATTGGGCCCTGAATTATCAACAGATGAAGCACGCGAAAACCGAGTCGCTCTCGCGTCTCACGATCGATCGCTTGAAAACCCAGGGTAAACTGGTTGCACTGGTTCTATTGGACGAGAAAGCCCGCCACTTGCAGTACACGCTGCCAGCCGAGTTGCCCGAGGTGAGTGGAGGGCAGATATTCGAACCCGCTGGAAAAAAAAACCAAGATCGGAACTCCTCTCGGAAGCCGCTTAATTTTTTCCGCTTCCTCGGCAGGACGTTTTCAATGCTCTCCTGAATAACTGCACTGAGCATTCACCGGTGGTTCAACGATTTTACAAAGTTTCCGATGGGATGGCGAAACTCTACGAGCCCAGAGTCGCCGACATCACGAATGACTTGCACTCACAGTTGGTGGAAGCCTTTCTGAGAGGCCTCAGTCCCGCCATGAAGGACAAATACCTCGTATCCCTCATTGAGAGCGAACTGAAATCAACGGCAAGTTCAATTCACTGCGTCGCTCACTCGTCGTACTTCCGCCGACGGAATGTCCCTCCTAGAATTCACGGTGACCCATCTCGCTCTAGGTTTTCGCGCCCTCCGATCTCAGCACTGCCGGTGAGGATAGCTTGCGGGGCAAACACGCGATCTGGGTGGAACGTCGCGCTCAAGGCGGCGCCCAGGAACGCCAGAAGAGTACGGAATCCAGCAACGACGTCGATTCCGATGGTTGGCAGGCGAAGCGATACAACCATCTTCGCGGCCTCTTAGAAGACAATCTCACCGAGGCGCAGAAGCTCATCATACGCCAAACTAACACAAAAGATAACGACGCGTACCTTAAGGAACTGACCAGCAGCATCCGCTCCGCGATGGAGGGCCTCATCAAAGGGGTGAGTTTCTCGCTCGCGGTTTCAAAGCGAGACGCCCACGGAATTTCTGCGAGGAAGCGCCGCGGTGATTCCCGCGCGCGGAGCAGCCGTGTATGATAAATCCGGGAAGCGCGCTCTGAGCTCAGTCAGTTAATAGGCGGGGCGGGGCTCTGGCAGGAGTGCCTCCGGTGATTCCGAAACTAAAAATTACGCTTCCGTGCAGGTCAGGGATGAGGACATGGAAGTTGAAGCCAGTACGCCGTGTCGAGGAATCCCTGATTCGCTGTTCTTGGAACTGTGCGAGCAATTCCGCATCAAAGAGACGCTCTTGAAGAGCGAAGAAATGACCACTGGGGAAGCCGAGTTCTGCAAACTCTTCTCTCAGAGACTCAAAGGCGGCAAACTCTTCGTGATCCATTCGAATAAAGAAGTCGGTCACATGGCTGCGCACATGATCCACAACGTGTCGGCCGATAATAAACGGGCAGTGCTTTTCCGTTATTGCAACCGGACTGTGAACTCGTCCACTCTCGGCCGCTTAGTGCGCTCACTACAGGAACAATTGTGCTTCCTCGCGGGCAAGAGCGCCAAGCAGGGCAGCGCGAGCCTCGAACATCATAAAGCACATGGCCATCCGTTCTCCGTACCGACTTCCACCTCTCGGAACCTCCAGGACGTCGTGTTCATTTTGGATATGCAATTCGGTAAGTTGTGCTGGCAATCACGTTCTCACCTCTGCGGAAGCGATAACCACGGCTGGGGGACGGCTCCCATCGACATTCCGCTCAGGCGGGTTCATCGAGTTTCCGCAGAGGGCGTTTTTGCGTGGTGTGACATCCTGTGATGTTTTGAGTCGTGAAGTGTCCCGAATCGATGAACTCCCGGAGAATTCAACGGGCTCGCGGTGATCGCCCGGGCCAACGATCCGTTCGGAGGCTTTCAGCGTGACCTGAGTTTTTACGACCGCTCAAACTGAGGATCAGCTCCCCGAAGACGTTCCGGTCGGAGCCTGTGGAGTCGACAGATTATTATTAACGCTGCGCGAAGAATCGAGAAGCATTACTTAGGTGACGCTCTCGGATTCGTCCTCTAATGGCTTGGCTCTTCCGGTTCACGTTAATCTGCAGAAAAAAAACAACATTATACTGACTGCTTGTCTCTTTTCTCCAATAGGTGACGATCTCGCAGGCATCTGCGATCTGGTTCCCGAGCAACTACCGTCAAACGTTTCGGTTGTCCTCCTCGCCAAGAGCGGCAGTGAGACTTGCGCCAAACTGAAAAACATCGGCAACCTCGACAAGTCGACCGTAGAACTCACTGAGACGGTGAACTTGGAGCTGTCCGATGACCCGGTTTTCGAGCTGGACAAGTTGATCTCGAGCGAGACACAGAAGCTCTTCGAGGGTCTTCTCGTGTCCTCAAGATACGGAATGATGGAACGAGACATCATGGATCTACTCTCGACGAAGCCGTCGTGCTATCAGAACGCCAGCCCTATGATAGATCCGAACCAGGAGTGTCGACACGCTCCCTATTCGATATGGGCTGTGTATGCCGCCGTGAACTCGCATCGACTGATTGTGCAAAATCACGCCGGCAGAGTGATCTACTCACTGCTTAAAGCCGATCCCGCAACGCCGAGATGTCATGACATTCTCTATGACTACTTTGACACGCATTGGAATAAGGAATACTCGACGCTGATCCAAGACGAGGTCGCCTACCAAAAAATCAGAAATAACAAAATGGTTCCCAATACCTACTATGACATGGACTACCTTCTGAAAAGACTGTGCCAAGAGTTTGCCGATCCGTATTCAATATTGGAGGAGCTCGAGGCGGTGAATGACCGAAGCCTCAGGAACGTGCTCGAACGTGCCAGTTACGCTCTTCGCTACGACGCTACTCAACTTCAAGCGCAGATGACGGAACATCTCGCCGCCGCCAAAGGAACCGACAAGTTTGAAAAAATCAAAAGCATGCTCGATGCACCCACCAAAGTCTCAACTCTGATGCCTTTGGATGCGGCCACAGCCTTAGGTGAGTTCTCCCGCTCCCGAACTCCGCAACAACTCAAATCATGAGCCGGCGCGGCGCCTCCTTTACGAGGCAAAGTGGCAAAACGCGTCTCTCGGCCGACGCGAGACCGGGCGCAAGATCGCAGCCGCTATAGCGACGGGGGCGGGATGAGTTAGCTCGGGTAGCGTCTTCTAAATCAGGGGTTCTTAACCTGTTTTGCCCTGCGGAGCCCTGGTGGGGTTCCGCGGAACCCTTATCGTTGGCTTGGGACCCTATCTTTCCATATTTCCCCCTTAATCACCTCAAAACCTACGACCACGATCCTAGAAGTATCCTGCATGCATTCGAGCTCAGAAAATTCATTCCATTTCGGTAAAATGAATAAAAGTCTGGGCAGCCGAGCAAGAGCTCGCGGAACCCTAGGGTTCCATGGAACCCAGGTCAAGGACCGCTGTTCTAAATGATCCGAACCTTACAGACAACGATAAGCAGCTCGAGGCGTCAACGAAGGAAGGAACAGAATCCTCCGGGAAGAAGTTCAGCAACTTCTACGTCCTGAAAGACGATAAAATCCACGTTGTATCGAACAGCGAAGACTGCAAAGAGATCTGCGTCTGGAGCATCGTGGAACAGAAGGCTGTACGCCGACTATACGGTGAGCCCCTCGTTTCTTCCTTATTCCTCTCTTTCTCTCCTGTGCGGTAGAGCTGTCCAGCGGCCAGCCACTCGGTCAATTACGGGCAGCGATAAGCTGATCACAGATGAAGAAGCTTAAACAATGTGTAATCCCTCCTCTTCAGGCCTCAATCAGCCCCGGGATCTGCGTCTAATCGATAACCGCAGAGCTTTGGTTCTCTGCAATCGGGAACTTCGGGTTTACGATTTGGATGCGGGCCAGTTGCTGGTCAAATTGAAGGGCGTGATGAACCAGCAGATGGCTTATTTCGGGCTCCATTCAAGCGACTATGTGGTCTCGTTGTCACGCAACCGTATGTACGTCAACATGATGAACCTCACCAGTGGCGACCTGGAAACTACTTTCAAAGTTGGCGAGGACCGCTTCCTCAACAGCCTCCTAGTATCGGGAAACGGCCGGATCTGCGTTTGTGGCGATGAAACTCAAAAACCGTTCCCCCTGCTCGTGTGGGATCTGGAGAAACGAAAACTCCTATACGATCTGCGTATTGCGCATCACGAGTTCCTGACTCGAATGTCGGCCATAAGCTCGGACGGCCATTACGTGGTGTGCGTGTGTCGTGAGCTCTCGGACAGCGCTCCGAACTTCATCATTGTTTACGATCTTCAAAGTGGAACCCTCTTCAAAAAATGGAAACCGCAGCGCAGCAGCGTCAGTATTGCGGTTTCTTCACAAGCATCGCTCGTCATCAACGGGCTCGATAACGCCTTCCTCATCGTGTGGGATCTCACGACCGGTCAACGAAAGTGAGTGTTTATCTTCCGAACGATTGTCACTCGAAACGACGCGCTCGAAGAAATTGCTTCCTGCGATCGTCTCTATTGATTTGCCGAGATCCCTTGGGAGCAGTGGAAAAACAACGGCCGATCATAGCTCCCCCGCACGGCTCGCAGCATGCGCTCCCGTCGTCTGTGATTGTTCTGGGAGGCAGCTCCTGTTCGGATCAAACGGCTATTTGACAGGAATCTTTATTGGCGTTTGCAGACACACTTTGAAAGGTCACACTGCCCCCGTGGATGAGATTCGCCTCGAGAGCGAAGCAGGATCGGTGGCGCTCACCTATAGCTCTCAACAGGACATCGATGGCAGCGTCAGAATGTGGGACGTGGATAAGGGTAAGACGACGGGATCAGTCGACGTATGGTCGTGATGTGATATCGAGAGATGGAGAAATATCATAGGGGATATCGAGGATTTGAGCTCCGATGTTTGATTTCAGGCGTTTGTCTCGCTGTCTATACCCCTTCGACGAGCATCCTCTGCGCTCAAATAATGCCGGGCGGTGAATGCTGCGTCCTGGCTCTCGAAGGGCGCGAGACTCCGATGTCGTGCATGCTCGTTCATAAAAGCGAAACGAGCGCCAAGAGTAGGAACAGGCTCGTAGGCAACGCAACTTCCTCATACGGCAGCTCGGGGAAAACATGTCTCGAGGTCGAACTGAAGGACGGCTAATGTAGTGACGGCCAGAACACATCATGGCCTTACGCACAACCAGCAAAATAGAAGACCTCGATGACGTCGACAGGACAGAAACGCAACGGGGCAGAAAGCTGCCAACTGAGCAACCGAGAGACAGACAGACGGACAGACAAACAACCAAACAGCCTTCTGTGAAGAGCTACGACAGGTCTACTTAGTTGCTCCTGTACGACTTTTCGTCGTCTTCGTCGCCGCATCTTCCACGCTTCCACGCTCTTCTCTCCCCTGTGCGGCTATAGCGGCCGGGAAGTCATCGAAACATTGATCACACGAGGAAAAGAGCAACAGCGGAGACTCGATGGTCTCGCCCTTCTCGTCCGCCCCACCAGAAGTCATAGCGACAGTCGAATGAGTCGAGAGACCTTGTGTGTGATCCGCGGTCCTTGTCAATATTTGTTCCCGTTGTTCATGTGAATCATCCTCTTTCATCTGGCTTCGTTGCCCAAACCGATCCCTGACAGAAGGAAGTCGATGCTGCCAAAAACAATTCAGAGCCGGAGGATATTAGCCGAAGCCAAAGCATTACCAAGTGACGAAATTGCACGGACATGAATATCCTCATACGAGTGCTAGGTTGACACGATTCCGTAGGAGAGAATAAGTAGCGCGGAGTCATGATCGTTTTCTCCTCCTGAATCCGTTGAAATAAGGCGTCGTCATATATTCGGCGCGGGAGTCAGCAGAGTCTACATCCGTAGCATTCGCGAAGAATTATCCCACACCAATCTCTGATCGAGATATAAAGTGACGCATGACATTCGTGACGAAGCTGGAGGAGTAATCGAAAAAAGGCGTCTGGGTTGGACACCAATGACTTGTTTCGAATATCGCCGTTGGTGAAATCACCGATCCGTAATCAAGCCAGAGCGAAGCCACATGAGCGGCTGCCGGAGTCTGATTCTATATGAGCCCAGAGCTGCCGTGACCGGAGCCTCCCGTCTCTAAAATTGTGATTCCTTCTTGACTAGTTGTGATTTGTGATGCCTGACATCTGTGGATTATCGATTCGCTGAGTCGGCGTGAAGGAGAACTGTTCACTGTCGTACCCGGTACCTGCCTATACACTGAACGACGCTTCTCGTTCCGCACTGCGATGAGACTGTCACTCCGGTCAAATCTGATCCAATTCCGAAGGGATCCAAGTACAAATTGAATCTTTCTGTGACTTATCGTAACCGATGATAGACTGAACTTACGATCGGGGATGGAAATTGCGCGATTAGATGTATGAAAGGATGGGAAATTCGGAAAGAGCGCCCTGATGTCATCCTGTCTACTTTCATTCCGGAGCGGTTCCAGTGAGACTCAGAACTTCGTGACTTGCGACTGGATTTAGCAAATCCGGGGTCAACCAATGGTTCACAGCTCCCGCAATGGAGACTCCTCGTGAGATTGCCGGCCTCGACTGCTTTGATGAGAGATTATGTTCGGTGAGGAAGGAGTCGCAGGAGCTCACGAGAATAGGAGAGGAGCTCGCCCCTCATCGTCATGGAGCCGTTTCCCGATGGGGCTCCGGAGCTGAGGCTCTCATTTATTTCCTACGGTCAGCGCATCCCTCTCGGGTATAACATTGTCTTTGAGTCTTCGGGAAGAAGTGACCCCAGTTTTCAAATTGCGCTGTGAAGTGCTTGCAGAAATGCGAATGGCTAGCTACTTGTCAGGAACTCCTCAGCCGCCTCCCCGTGAACCTACCTTCTTCGGCTTGAGACTGTCGACCTCAAACCAGCGATCTTTTACCTTCAGTGAAACGAGCCGAATGCGACGTGACTACGTGACGCCGTGAATTGTTTCCGCCGGGCTCGCGCTGCCCATCATCCGTGGGCGAAATGACACACCTCTACACCCACCCCATATTAGATCGACTGTAAGACCTGAAGCTCGCTCGATATATTGGTGATGATTGATGCTACCCTCCTGGCTGGGACCGAGTGCGATATAGGGATTGGCGGTGACGGTGGTTTCCGCGCACGCACTGATCCGTAATGTTTCGGCACTCTTATCACTGCAGCGACGGGAGTGTTCATGAGACTGACTCTGGGGGGAAAATCTCGGCGAGCTTCAGTATTCGAGTCCTCAGCTTCTCAGGCGAGCACCGTCTAGTCACGGACCGAACTTCACGAAGAGAAGCCAACGGCTGCGCAAGGAGGGCGAGGAGCGCTGAGTACTCGACAAAGCGCTCACATCGATCTACGCGGCGTAAAAGCAGGCCCAAAGTCTAGGCTCCGAACGGAGCATACCACTTATATCAAAGGGAAAATTTTCGCTTTGCTCACGGTCAAAGCGTTTGGTAGCTTTAAGTGTTTACCGAAGGAGTGATGACTGCCATTGTCTCCTCATTCACTCAATTATCTATACGACATCCCGATAGACATCCATGTAGAAATGCCATACCTAGGTAAACGGGAACGGGGCGCGTCCTCCAACAATGTGGAATCTGATTTCATTATCCCCTTGACCGTCAATCAAACAAGATGACTAACTGAGACTTGGACCTGTGGAATCAACAATCTAAGAGAGAGTCATTGGGTTTCAAGCGTGTCCATCGTGCAGTATGCTAAATAATGGGCCTCGACCTGCATCGGGCTGCCTAATGAATCATCGCCGGGTCGGAGTCGAGCATTGTATCATCGGTCAGGTTTTGTCAGCGATTCGCAGCCCGATTTCTGAGCGTAAACGCTCGATTTTCGCGACTAGCGATGTGATTCCGTTTCCGATGCTTTCCGCGCGGTGAATTACCTCAGGATCTCGGCTTAAGGCTTGAGAGACGGAAGTTATCATTGTTCCTGAGCTTCTTAATCTACCTTTCGTCAAGCCGAGCGTAGGTTTGATTCGTCCGAAATTCAACGGGAATCCGCTCTGAGCTCGAAGCTTGCGTCCGACGTCATGTTCTCGACTCTGATCTGGTCGAGTGGATAGGATTGTCAGTTATTCGAACGCCATTAGTTCGTTCAGACTAGTCAACAACCGTATGGAGATTCGTGATCTTTCGTCGTCGAGGTATCTGGTCTTGATAGAGTTTAGGAACAAGAAACATTCATCCTGAATACATCGTCATTCTTAAACCTACTATAATTATTATTATCATTATCGGTGTAATGGTATGAAATCACCGACGTTAGTGTTGGATTGAATACTAATGAGAACTGATTCTAATTGAGGTTATGAGAGATATGCTCGGATGCGAGAGTCTGTCTGGGAGCGTCGACTCTACTCAAGAGACGAACAGTCCGAGGAGACCGCCCGTACTTCGGTCTTGAAACTGTTGAAAAGAATGATTAGGCACTTGATGCTGACTGACTGATCGACCGAAAGAGCGAGCGATCGAGCAATAGAACGACAAGCTGTTCGAAAATTGAGAAGAAAAAATGTCTTGATCGTGGAGTCCTCTACTCCTGTGAGAGACAAGTCTGAAACTGTCCCACATCGTTCCCCACCTTGAGACCGCGTTGATGGCGAACACCAGGACGACAATATATTCCTACGAATTCTAATTCTGCCTGAATACAAATGTAATTTGAAGATGTATACGGTGAGTGTCGAGGTTACCGTCGTCACCATCAGCGAGGTCGGCTGAGAGCCGCACTAGTCGTGTGTATAAGATAGGCGAATGTTGCCTTCGTACCCCGAATCTGTGACCAATAAAATCCTCATCCGTGATTTGAGGTATTCTGGATGCTCTTCTATACATTCGTCGCGCCTTCTGCCGGAGAAACCGATAGACTGGGGTGAATTCGGGACACTCGGGAGAATCCTGAAACCGACTTCAGCAGGGAAACCGACTCCAGACTATCGGAGCTGGTGGAGACGTTCTAAATTCTTTCGGATTGGGATGTTCGAAGGGAGTTCGGTATACGTATAAGCTACGCCTCTGAGGCTGATAGTCCCACGACAGGGACGCCACCGATCGCCCACGAGCCGTTTGACTCCTCATTCTCAGCCGATGGGAGCCTTGATCGCTTTGAAATTCGGCGCCGCGAGATTTGTCAACTGACCGAAGCCGAAACTTGCTCCGAGAGAAAGAAGAAGGCGCGAGAAATCGGCAAGGTATCTTCAGGAATGGGCACTCCGGGTTGCACGCGGCTGCTTCCCTGCATCGCAATTCGCGTCGTTTTATTGTATGTATAGTAAGATAGATCAATCCAATTCAAACCCTCCTTCATTCGAAGGGCGAGGTGAAAAAAATCTAGTACAGGAACCGGAAGACTCGTATGAGGGGGGAATCATCGGAACAGTTCGCTCAGTCTCGTTTTCCCGCTGCTGGCTCACAAACACGCCGGAGCCAAGCATATTTGACAATCTCATTGTAAGCTTTGGGTTCGGGTCCGACTGTGTGAGGGCTCCGACGGTCGGTCGCCACCGCGGCGGAGAACCCATCGTAGGGACCCCACACCAGGTTGCGACAGAAAACAAAGAAGTCTTGTTTTATGAGGATTCGCATGATGGGGGACAGCGAAGGCTGAACGTAGTCACTCTTTTGGGAACAACGCCATCGCAGACATTTCAGGAACAGTTTTTCCATGGATTTCGCCAGATGACAATGTTGAGGGATTTAGATCTGGGCACAGTATGACAACTTCCCTCCAACTTTGATTCAAATGCCGGGCTCTCGAAGACTGCAAGAGCGTTTCCTCGCTCGCTTTCTGGTTTTCACTGAGCTCTCTCTCCGGAGAGCCGTACCGCGCTTGACTCCCGAACTCTCTCAGAGGTGCCGTTATCCACCGACCTCCCGAGCTCAAGGAGATCCCTTCTGAACGGGCGAGGGGAACGTACGTGGGTGAAACACCGGAGCAGCTAAGACGCGGTTACGAGGATCCGGGAAGCAGGAGCGCGACGGAGGGCCAAGATACAGCTCAGGTCTTGGTTTGCCGATACGGCTTCCGACTTCCTGACGATCCATCACTCGTCGATTCAAGACCTTGGAGCGCTTGACCTCAACTCTTCGGGCTACGACTCGGAACCTACGCATCCGAGCGTTGGACGTCATAATGCAGGACAACGATCTCTCGCCGCGTCTTCTAGCCTCTTTTATAAAGATGAGCGGGGGCTGACGAGAAAAAAGCTACCTTATTCGAGCATCAGTGCACATATTCGCGCCAGCTCTCACGCTCGGATTACTTTCTTGACCGGAACCGTGAAATGGTTCGGACGATTTTGATCGGCACTCGGGACACACAAAAACGCTTCCGTTACGTTTCTCCGACTTGATTGAACCAGAACCCACGAGAGCGACAAGGCGCGAACTCGCTCGCGGGAGGCTTATCACTTAAAAAAAGTTCCTCTATAGAATGGAAGACTCGGGATGTGGTTTGTGGACACCTGTCGGTCATTTCTACAATCATAAACCCCAACGGGAGACAACAAGAGGCATACAGACCAGCACTCCAGTACAAGCAGTCACATCAGAGCTGAGATCCTAATTGTTCGACATGTATGTACATTTCTATCACACATTCACCTGTCTGTCGGCCGCTCGCGACTTCAGCTCAGAACATTGGAAGCGTGAAGCTCGATGCGGACATGCGACGTTCCTCCATTTAGGAACTACCAAAGACACCTGGCGAGGTCGAAGACTGAAGAGGAGCCTGTTCCGGATGATTCAAAGCTCGTCTCTCGAACGATCATTTTTTGCGGCGTCCAAAAGCCAGAAAGACGATTGGAGGCCATGGACGTCACGGTGTCTCTTAACGAAGGCACTGAAGGACGAGAAACAATTCCCGATGAAGTGATTCGACATCGACAAGATCGCAAGATCGATGTGTGGTTCGTTTCGAGGATAGCGTACGACCTCGACGTGGAGTTCGCGGAGTCGATGTTGGAGTTCCGGTAGAAGGTGATCGTGGTCGCTGGCGACGAAAACCCAGTTGGCTGCGTGAGTGCGCACCACCGCGGTGACTTCGTTGAGAACGTCTCGTTGATCGGGGAGACACATCCGTGTCCGCATGGCGTCCGATGCTTTCACCTGTTCACCCCGATAACCGAAACACTGCGGCGCCGAAAATAGCAAGGGGGCATCTTTGACGAGTCTGCACGCGTTAGCCCAGTCGGCTCCGTTCCTCAGATGAATGCCCACGAAAGGACCGGCATGCTGATCTCTCATGGAGAAGACGAAGTCTTTCGCGCGCTCTTTCGTTCTATCCGAGAAGATAAAGTATCGCTGCAACGGCAGATTGTGTCTCTGAACTGGGAAGGCGCCCGGCGCTCCGGTGAACGCCAACACCGGGTACTCATCGACCGGATAGGCATTCGTCCACTCATGGATGAGGCTCCTATTGCTGTGAGTGTCGTAGTGGAGAGGTCCGAATATCTCGGACTTGACGAAGTTTATGCCGAAATTATCCCAAAAAGGCCCGAACGGCTTCCCATCCTTCGCCGCGCAATCCACGTGATCAACTCGTGATCTGAAACAGAACGAAAATCGCTTCTCCGGGGGCCAAACTCTGTGTGCGAGGTCTTGCATGAAGGCCTCCATCGTGATTGCTCGGTGATAGTCGAGAATTCCCGAAACGTTGAAATACTCGTCGAAAGGAACGAAACGAGGGCCGGTCCCTCCACTTGGATACTCTATCCAGGGCGGGAGGATCAAGGTTCGATCGATGGATTTTGCGAAGGCCAAAGCACCGATGTACTGATCAGCCTGGTTGCCAAAGCGTCCCATGCACGGACAGAATGCGATATAGCCATGAGGGTCCGCAGGTTGTATAACATCAGCTGACTGAGCCGCTTGCGAAACATGCGAGTAAATCCATAGGATCACCAGTACCTGGGGGAGGGGATCTCGTTAAATTATTCTCTTCCGAAGCCCCGTATCAGACGTGACGCACGAACTTAGAGGGAAAGAGCAGCAGCCTCTTACGGCGTCCCTGAGCATTGATGTATGAGCCCTACCATCTTCAAACCATCGCACCGACGGCTACGAGTTCGAGGAGCTCCACTGTTGGATTCGATTCCCGCGAATGAGGTTGCCGCCGGAACGAGCATTTCGCGGCTGAGGAGTTTCAAACGATTCGCTGCTGTCTTGCGCGGCAGAAGCCTCGACTTTGAGCGAGTGAGCTACCCGTAGCCGAGCCGGGTGTCCAAACTCAGCAAAGAAGACTTCTGATGGGGATCGGAAACTAGAATCGGCTTATTTTTCAGCATGTCTGTATATCAGCAGCGCTCCCAGGAGCAGACGACGCGCGCGCTGAAATCTCCTCACCGTCGCTCGTCGTCGGCAGGAAAACAGTCATCTCTTCGCCAGCTCCGTAGGCCGCAGCGACTGAGAACCGATCAGGTCTTCGTACCAGATCATCAGAGATCCATTGATCATTCCACTCCTCGTCAAGGAATGGAAAGATTTGGCCGAATCGTCCGTGAGTCCTCCGGATCTGTCAATGTTCATCCGGCAACATGGAGAGGGAACCTGGGATCATGAATGATGATTGAATTGAACTCAGCTGTGGCGGTTGGCCGAACTGACGACTAACTAAGCGTCAGAGAAGTGTTGTATTTAAGTTCCTTCGATACATGTGATGTTTCGATTACTGTGAAAATTCATGGTAGCGTAGCATGTCCGGTGAGGGTCTAAGTTCTGAGTGAGTATCTTTCCTGCGCGCAAGCCTGTCGGAGCTCCATGCTGGAGTTGTAGCCCGTAGCATCGGGTATGTCCGTTCTCCGGATCTCCGGCTTCATGCCCTTCCCTCTGAGCGATAACCATGCGTACTTCGGTATGACTCCCCGAAATGATCCTCAGATCGACAATAAAATACAGTTCCTCGAGACCCTGGCAGCTCTTAGTACGAGTCCTCGGATTGTAGCTCCGTGGAATTTCCACTTCTGTGGGACAAGTACAGGCATGTTCCGAGAGCCCAGTGAGCACTCATTAGAGAAACCTTTTTCTTCATTCTCTCGAGTCTCTTCCGAGTATGTCTGAAACTCCGGGAGGGTGCGCTCCAGAACAACCCGGAATCCGTTCTGCCCCTTGACTTCTGACCCGATGACCATCATCGGGATTGGGTTACGACATATGATAGCCCACCGATGATCTCCCTAGTCAGAACTTCAGTGCCTGTCTCATGCCTCCCGCTGAAGTTCTCACTTGGATTCATATCTTTTCAATTTCAGTGGACACCCCCCCGAGAATTTCGCCGATCGGGACGCCGAAATTATAGATGCCTCCTTCGAAGAAACACCGGCTTGTGAGTACTGGGTGAATCCTGAATGATTTTCACTCATACAGAGACGGGATTGCGCGCTCCCCGTGAGCCGCTCAATCATTTTTATCATTATCAATGAGATGACCACCTTGTGGTCCTAGCGCCAGGAAGATTTCAAACTACGACTGGAGCGGTGTCAGCGGGCAGCGGAGCTCAGTGCTAATCTGACATCCATATATTTGCAGCGTATTGTTCGAGTTGTGGTGTAATGTACGCTTTGCGCCTCTCACCTAGATCGTGCCCTTTTGTGACGGACCACGAGACAATGGATAGCGTCGGCGACGGCATGCTTAATTGCGATTCGTTGAGCTCGTATGGTCTCCCCCGAGCTGTGGAGGAAGACCTTCCATCGTATTACGAGCACCTCTCGCTCAGTCTCTTGGCTCCGGAAACCCCGGAGCGAGCTCCCAGTGCTCGAGGCAGACGGCGATTGCAAACCTCGATTCTCCCTTTACCAGATCATCTCTCCAGCATCGGCGATTTTCTGGAAGGTAAAACCCGAATCGCGCGCTCCGGATGAGAGTCTCGTGGACATTTCGTGGCATAGAGGGCGAGAAGCAACCCCCAAAATCGACGACGACAAAAACGAATTTCTGAACCCTTCAGGCGTTGTCGCTTACGTCGAAGTCCGCTCGGATCTGGGCGACCATTCAGACGCTATAGCAACTCTCCTCTACCGCATGGGTGCATCGATTGTCCTCACTCTTTCAACGTCGGTCACTCATGCTGTTTTGTGTTCGGCACGCCTCGCTACCGTACGTAAAGCGAAGTCGATGAGCATCCAGATCGTAGCCGCACGGTGGGTGATGGCATGCAGGGATCAACTGCGACGGGTCGAGGAAGAGGATTGGCCCATGCTGGCGAACACCGACGATTTCCGAGGTGAGCCAGCTCCTTAGAGAGAAGAATCGTGAATCTTGTGCTCCGGAAGCTATCGGCATCCTATGTTTCGATGGAACAATCAGTTATTCATTGTCGATCACGCGTCGACCGGGGAGTTTTGCGAAGCATAAACATGGGATTTCACACCGAACTGACAAAGGCAGCTTGTCTGAAGGTCTTCGACAATACCGTTACAAAGTTTCTGGCGTCAACGATACGCCATCCCCCATGTCGGTTCGGAATTTGGCGATGCTGTCGAAGAGCAGGAGGCAGCGGTCTCAGAAAATCGGAGACTCCCCGACGGCATCACCCCACTCAGCAAGATCCGCGTGGCAGTCTCCGAGAAAGAGTCTGAGGAGAGTGAGTGGAACTCCTTTAATTCAGATGAGCTTACTTCCTGAGAGATCTCCACCGCTAAAACAGCTCTCCTGATCGTCAGGTATTATTTACTCGACCGGATCTACGTGTTGCTCTGCCGATACCGAGTGAATCTGAAGGAAGAGAAGAGGAGGACGACGCAAGCATGCTCAGCATTCCCGAGACTCAAGTGAGTGAGCGGAGATGTCCGAAAAGCACACTACTGAATGCAGCTTTTGCAGATGAGATTCTTGGCAGTCTATCATTTTGTCACAATGCTTTCGTTGGGACGGACTCACGTTCTGCGGGCAAGAGACGCACAAGGGAAAATAGATTTATTTCCCGCGAGATCATTCGAAGTACCTCCAGAGAATCAAGTAGTCTACGGCAGGAGTCTTGCTTACTCCATCTTTGCGGCGCGCTCAGCGGAAACAGTTCCGATGCTGACTCCGAGTTTTTCATGTCAGGAAATCACCGAAGTACCAGAGACACAGAATCCCAATCTACCTGAATCTTTCTTCGTACCGGAGACTGATCCATTGATGTTTGACCGGGATATAGATTACTTCGCGGATGATTCCTACCTCGAAGTACCCGAAACGCAAGGAAACAACGCTCCTTATCCGGATATCGATCTCCCTGACGTGGTTAGCTTGAATGACCAACCCGCTAGGGAAGCTTCCGAACAGCATGCCCCCGATGCGTCCGAGCAGCCGATTACACAAGGTGAAACCTATTGCTTTGTTGACTGAATTCGACGCTTTATTCTTGTGAGTCAGAAGCGCTGCTGTATTGCACTATGCGAGGCGATCAGATCAATGTTTAATTCGCAGATCCGTCTCAGCGTAGGAAGATCATCGAGGACCTCTTCGCGCAGGGAAACTTGGACCTCGAAGAGAGTTTCAATAGTCTCAGCGTTCATGACAGAAGCGCGCCTCCTAACGGAATGGTTGGTGGATTGTATGATTCCTGATCTGGCATAGGAATCGATGGCAATATTGCTCGGGCTGTCCTGTCCTTCAAGGGAGCAGGAGACCTCGTCTCTATGCTTTCCCCGCGAAATAACTTCCTGCTGTGATTTGTGACCGCTACACATCAGTGCACTGTTGCAGATCTATGAGCGGAAAGAAACGTCGGCAGAAAGCATCGACATGATGATTGAAGGAAAGGAACAGGAACCGTTGAGCGATGATATCTCTCAGGATAAGTCCTTCAGTTTCTGCCGGAGCACACACATGGAGCTGACTCGAGTTGTTCAGAGCGCCCTTGGAAGGTCCGTTTCACGAGCTCCGGACGCGACCATGGTGTTGACGCAGCCGGCCCCGAACGCCGAAAATACCGCACGGATACGAGGTGAGAGTCAGAGAGGAAAATTTCCCGGGCGCAGCCACGACTCCTATCATCCTGATTCCATCATCGTCATAATAAAATATGAAGGATCAGGCTGTAATGTGATTTTTTTTTCAGAATTGGATCACGGAATGGACGAACCGCCGCAGATCGCTTATGATCATGACCATATCAGTTCTTCCCTTGAACTAGTCTTACCCCAGGGAACTTCCCAAAGTCTCTCCTCCGATGCCTCGCCGATGACGGAGAACACGGCCCTCTACCTGGGAAGAGGGGATATCGTTCCGCCTGATGACGAAGTCTCCATGGATTCGGGTGCTGTTTGTGACAGATCGGATAAGCTTAATTTGTGTAGCGAGGAAATCGGAATTTGTAACTCGACCGGAGACGAAATGATCATGTCGCACGATAGTCATGAGAAGCGTCAGAGGCGACAGGTGAGAGCGTAGAGCATCCTTGATCGATCCCAGAATTCCGCATCGAAACCCTTCACGGCGTATCTCTCGATCGTCACCGCATCTGGTCCGCGCCGCCGACGGAGGTCTCCAAAAGGGTCGTGAATTGCAGGTGCCCGAATCGAGCTCCACGAGTTTTTCGTTCTCGGGGGAAAACACGAGGCGTGACAGCAGCGGGGCGGTAGCTCAGCGCCAAAGCGTAGAGAGCATGAATCGTCAACATTCTGAAGTCTTCACGCCAATCTCGGATAGACTTCAAGCTAGAGTCAGCGGGGTGTTCTCAGACGACAACTCGCCCTGTATCGACACCCGGAGGACCATTGTCTTGACCGGTTTCAGAAATAAGCGCTCGATCTCTAAAGGCCTCAAAGACCTATCGCGGAGACTGGGCCATTACGATCTCGCTAATGAGGTGGGGAACGTCCGGACAAGCGACGAATCGATGTTTAATAATATACTATGATCTGTATACTCATCAAAACTCTTGTGGGCCCAGGTAACGACCCGTACGGAAGTTATTGTGATCGAAGAACACAAGCGGACTCTAGCTGTTCTTCTCGGCATTTCATGGGGTTGCTGGTTCGTTTCTCCGAAATGGGTGAGCACGCTCAGATACCGATTGTTGGACGTCAAAAATTAATTTTGGATAAGCGAGGTTCTTTCGTTGAGTCTTGTCCTATTGGGTTCGCCCCCCTCCTTTGGTCGCAGATTAATCCAAAAGCAAATTGTTTCGCAGGCCACTGAAACGATCAAAGTTGGGCGATGGCTTGATTTCGGAAAATTTGAAGTCAGAAATTTCTTGGCCCCAATGTTCGTGAACCGGGAAGCACGCATGAGCCTGGTCGACTCGGACAAAATAAACATATTCCGTGATATGAAAGTATTCGTTTCTCGACGAGATTCGCTCAAACCTTCGGCGGACGCAATACAGCGTATGATTCTACAAGCGGGAGGAAAGGTATGACTTGCTAAAGAGCTTGCCTATGATTTCGGTTTCGTGAAGTCTTGAATGACTCCCTCGCTCTCCACTCGATCCCGACTCCAGGCACCTCGAAGACGGACTATATCGACTTATCTTCCAAATGATTCCCAGGTTGTCTTCGATTCTCGCCAAGCGCAGGTCTTCGTGGGACTGTCGAAGCCGAAGAGAAAGCTCAGCTGTCAGATGGTGACGCCCTCCTGGATTGTTGGTGGGTGTATGCAGAAAACTAGTCGGACGGAAAGACGTAGGAGATCCCAGAATCCGAGAGATAATCGAGTATCGCCGCGGAGTCCTCTTATGATCTTGTTCTGTTCTTTGCAGAAAGTATTTCAGCAGGACAGCTCCAGCCCTATGATGAATTCCGCTTGTAGCTAACCGGTTTGATGACTGAGTATTCTTGGTCAGCCGACAACCCTTTCGCGGAGAGACCTCATTGGAAGCTCATTGAAGATTCGGAAGGGAACGAATGGTGATTGAGCGATCCTGGAACAACGCACATGGAGACTAGACACCGTAAATCGGTTGTATTATACCTTTATGGAATAAAAATCGGATATCGACATCTACGATACAATAGAAGCGACCTGCAGTGAATGCGGAATACAGTAAAAGCTCGTTACAACGACCCCCATCACAACGAATTTCTCTGTACAACGAACAAGGAATTTCTCCTCCTTTGGCCAGCTCGCCATAGGGATAGTGCTGAGCGGCATTCGTTACAGCGGAAACTCGGTACAACGAACCAGTTTCGTCGGTCCCTTCGTGTTCGTATTAACGAGCTTCTACTGTATATACTGAAGACTGATAAGAACTCTATCCATATGGGGAAGTTTTCCGAGGTTCCCTCGCTGCTTGCCCACAGCCCGCGAAAGCGATCGTCATTGTGGACATTAGTCCATAACTCCGCTCGGAACCCAGGAGATCCACGCGTTCCCGGCGGAGACGATTTTTTCGTTGAATATGTGATTCTCACATCACATGATTGAGTCTCGTGGGTCAGGTGGGTCATGAGTCAGATGGCGTACCGAGAGTGCATCGCGCTGTGGCTGCTTTCCACAATCCTCCGGGAAAAGATCACGTTTCAGTTGACTCTTTCCAAGCGATGAATGTGCAAGTAATGAAGGGACAAACGATTGTTGTTCATTGCATGTATGGGATATATTTCAACAAAAACAAGCTCTGAGCGATTGACAGACTGTTTGCTTGGGAGTCAGAGCGTATTCACAGTGTTCAAGAGTTTGTTCGATTCTGAGTGCTACATGGTTTCTATTTACATGGTGATTGTCATCGTTGACGTCGATCGGGAAAAAAACAACCGCGAAACCTCGAACGCGACCACGAGGAAGCCACAGCTATAGGCTGCCGCATTTCAATATCAAAGCCTCGGTGAAACAATAGATAGAAAGTGAGAAGAGGTTTTCGAACGACATGTAACCGCGGCTTGGCTGACGACTTGTCCCTCGCCGACTACTCCTTGAGAAGATCACATCTTGTTCACTCGATCGCTGAGCTGATCGAGCTGGTGTTGAATTCTTTCCGGGACTGCTCCAGAGAGCTGTTCATCGAAGTATTTCGCGATGGCGGCAACTTCTCTCGTCCAGAATTCTTTATCTAGGGCGAAGAGCTCATCGTAATTGGCCTCGGACTCGATTCCTTTGAGGTTGAGCGCTTCCTTGGTGGGGATCAGACCGACAGGAGTGTCCCGAGCACTACCCGCTTCATTCTCGATACGCTTCAGGATCCAGTCGAGAACCCTCGAGTTCTCACCGAATCCTGGCCAGAGGAATCGGCCCTCAGCGTCCTTCCTGAACCAGTTCACGTGGAAGATCTTCGGGAGCTGGAGACCGGGTTTGTCACCGAGCGAAAGCCAGTGCTCCAGGTACTTGGTGAAGTTGTAGCCGAAGAACGGCCTCATGGCGAAAGGATCGTGCATGATCGCTTTACCGGTGTGTTCGGCCGCAGCCGTCGCTTCGGATCGCATGGCCGAGCCGATGAAGACCCCGTGATCCCAATTGTTGGCTTCGTAGACCAGCGGAACGCCCTCGGGACGGCGACCGCCGAAGATGATTGCGGAGATCGGTACTCCTTCCGGTCTCTCCCATGCCGGGTCGATGATGGGGCACTGATTGGCAGGACTACAGAACCTGGAGTTGGGGTGGGCGGCCAGGGTCTTGCTGTCTTTCTTCGCACCTTTCCAGGTCTTGACGGTGATTCCTTCCCGGGGCTCGGACATACCCTCCCACCAATAGGATCCATCGGAAGTCTCACCGACATTCGTGAAGATGGTGTTCTTCTCCACGGTCTTCATGGCGTTCGGGTTGGTGGTGTACGAAGTTCCGGGAGCGACCCCGAAGAATCCGAACTCCGGATTGATGGCTCGGAGAACACCGTCCTTATCGAATCGCATCCAGGCGATGTCGTCACCCACACACTGAGCTTTCCAGCCCGGCAGGGTCGGAGTGATCATGGCGAGATTCGTTTTGCCGCACGCAGAGGGGAAAGCCGCCGCGACGTAGAATTTCTTGCCTTGAGGGGATGTGAGGCCGAGGATGAGCATATGCTCCGCGAGCCAGCCCTCTTTGTAACCGAGAGTGGAACCGATTCGCAGCGCGAAGCATTTCTTGCCGAGGAGCGAGTTGCCGCCGTACCCGGAACCGTAGCTCGCGATCTCGTTGAGCTCGGGAACGTGGGTGACGATGGTCTTCTCGGGGTTGCACGGCCAGTTGTTTATGGCTGGCTTCTCCATGGGGAGCGGCTGTCCTACAGAGTGCAGGCACTTGATGAAAGGTCCGTTGCCGAGTGCTCTGAGCGCGGCCCTGCCCATGCGGGTCATGATACGCATCGAGCAAACAACGTACGGCGAATCCGTCATTTGGATACCGATTTTCGACATCGGTCCGCCGACGGGGCCCATGCTGAACGGAATGACAAACATGGTACGGCCTCTCATGCAACCGGGGAAGCGTTCGTTCCAAGCCTTCTGGAGGTCCTCCGGGGAGATCCAATTCCCGAGTGATCCCTTGACACCCTCGCGCGGGGTGGGGATCGTTTCTTCTCGTCGTGGCGTGCAGATGAATGTTTTGGATTCAACTCGAGCGACATCGGCTGGATCCGTCCGAGCCAGATAGCAGTTCTCGTGCTTGTTCAGCTTGACAATCATGCCATCTAGAATTGAATTTCATCGTGAGCGTTCTGAAGATCACTTTTGAAAGCAGCCGAGATCCAATTTCCTCAAGTAATTCCAATTCTCCCCTAGCTCGTGGGGAGGCGAAGAAAAATTATCGACGTATCTATGTGAGATGACTGACCTCGAAGCATGAGCTGAATGAGGAATTCATTTTCCTCCTCACTTCCATCGCAGATATGCAGAGCCGAGGGTTTGCACAACGCGATCTTCTCTTCGACGTAAGCCCTCACATGGTCGGGGAGGGTTTTCAAATCGGAGTTGGGTCTGAAACCCACTGAGGTTTTCCGCACTTGGTTGCCGACCGATTGGGACAGACATCCCGATGCTTTAAGCCTGAAACAGAAGCGTCCCGGTCAGTTACTATGTGTATGGGCGGAGGCCTGTAGACGATAGGCCTGCAAGTTGATGAACGTCGCTTGTTGTCACGGCCGGCTTGCAGCGTATCGAATTGCGCACTTGCGGAGTCAGTCTGACTCAACTCGCGCTCTACTAGCCGGAGACCAAGCTTCCGGAAAGGTCTCGACTGAATGACGCGGTTGCCGGGAATTCCGCCGGACCGAGGCAAATATCGAGTGCATTCTAGCATCTGTTCTCCAAGATAATCTTCTCTGAGCGACACATTCCCTTTAATCTTTTCTTCTGTTTGAGTCAATCGGGGAAAGATCGCCCGATTCCGAATGGTAGTGAAATCGACAATGCGCGGAAGAATCGGGAATGACATCGAACCTTATGAAAATTCAGCTCCGCCTCGAGCTTCGACAGAAAAAAATCGCAGATGTGACTTTCTGAGCGGCGTAAATGAGAGAAGTTCCTGCGCAGTTTCAGCAGTCGCGCCATAGCCTAGAGCCCGGAGAGGCGAGCTGGCAACAGATCGTCGAGAGCAGATTCCTCGATGAATACGAATAACCAGAGAAGTACTCACTCCAATTGCTGGGGTAAAAAGTAGGATCCGGTGGCAGGCATCTTAGCAGCAGATCGAAAGAGTGCTCGAAAGGATGGCTCTCAAATCTCATTGAAGTCGTAAGACTTGTTGGAATGACAGAAGCTCTGTCGCCTGCTGTTTATATGCGGAGTGTAGACGACTCTTTCCACTCTGTGGTAGCTACCCTCCTCCTCGAAGTCATGTTCAGCCTCTTTGCTCGACAAGTCTTGCTCTATAGCTCGGTTCCGAATCTGGCTAATGCCGACGCGGAGAAAGCCATCCACGATCGATTCAATGATGAATTCCCCAGAATCGAATATCGCCTGGTGCATGCGTATGTATGTGCTACATGAGTCAACGGGGATGGAAATCGGAGCTACCAGTTGGAGGGCTCGCCCTTGTTGCATTAACTCCCGGACGGGGAAAAAACGTGAAATCAGGCGATTAATTGGACCGTAATTTCGACTTTCGCGGATGAACATAAAGAACCCTTAATTCGTGATTGTCATGAGAGTCAAGTTCTGAACAACGCTGGCGATCGATTGAGAAATCTACTCGTCCGGAGCATCTTCCCCGAGGGCCATCTCGCGACTCTCGAGCAATCAAGATCTGCTCCTTGTCCCCCACAAGTCCGAGCAAGCGAGAGTTCCGGCTTCAGGAATATTGAAGTGGAACCGGTTTGTGCTAAGATGGAACTAGCAGTAGAACAAATGATCTCGGACGCATTATTCCATTCGAGGTCCCCACAGACTGACTCTAAAGCAAGCGGAAAATATCCAAGCGGCGAAAAAGGCGAATATGTCGACCGGACGCCCTCCCTACGCCTGTTCCTTCTTTCTCTGTGGATGATCCTCGTTCCGACGCGTTTCAGGGAAGGTAATGTTCCAAAATAATTTTTTATTTCCCATGGCGATCCACCGTATCTGAAGAACGGTGTGCGGAGCAGGAGCTTCTGCTCTATCCACGCTCAGCTGATGCCGCCTTTCGGCTCTCGACCCACGTTCGTGAACTCTCCTGGTGAGCTGAACGCTCTTCTGCAGAATTCGTGGGTGCGCCGATCGAGCCGATGTCTCGCCCCGCCGGAATATTCGAAGAGGATAGTGAGCTCGGAGCTCGAGATCTGCACGACTTCAAACAATCTCGAATCTCCTGTGTTATTCTCAGAAGGATTTCGCGATACTCTCCGGGCCTCGCTGAGTGAAACGACCAGTTTTCAAGGGGAGCGAGAATCCGGATCGGGTTCCGCTCGATGTGTCTACGGCAAGTCGGGGAGTGCTGCCGGCCGCGAACATTGGGTGACTTTGCGGCGCCCGTCGACTCCTCAGCCACGTCATCTGGAGTTCCCAACAATGATCTAGAAAGGCTCTTGGTGGGTTCGAAGCTCCCCGTACCTCTTGCTGAAATCATTTTCAGAGTAAAAACAAGTAGTCTTCTCCCGAACCCCAAGCTCAAATGTATTGGAGTCATCAATCAGAAAACCCCTAATAGATTCGGGTTCTGTCAAGCTTGCTCCCTTCAACAACCGAGAACTATTGATCCATGCGAAAAGAAAAGTGCGCTCGTCACACGTTTACTCTGTCGGCGATGCGAAGCCGATGGCCAGAGCGTGATAGGCGTCTAAGTTCGCTGGAGGCTCCCCATTAAATGGATAGAATCGACAAGACACGTGGGATGGTCAAACTTGGCATCGTGTATTAACAATGCACCTGACCTGTCGACAAGGATCATTGACAATTATTGCGGTCGAGACTCGTCTGGAACCGTCCGTGGAAAAACATGATTCCGAGAGCGTTCTATATCAATCTCGACCGATGAATACTGCTCCAGACACGACCGATGGACAGCTCCCGAGACAAGAAAGCCTATCGCCATCCAATCGGTGTCGACCGTTGTCTGCTGGCCGTGTTTCATCTCGAAGCTGCTAGATGCATATCGAGTGTGTTCTGTCTCAGCGAGATGGGATCACGAGAGTATTGCTGATTCTCTAATCTAACAATGACTCTGAAGATATCGAGACGATACTAGCGTGTCGAAACCCCAGGATCGTCGAAGTCGGGGCTCTCCAGGGAGTTTGGGCGATCTGCTCATTCCGAATCGATCCTCCATTAGGTCTTCGCGAAAAATCTTTGTCTGAGGCCTCCAGGGCGAAGCGTCTTCCGTGGAGTCTGAACTGGAACGAGGCTTCATTTTCCAGACATAAGTCTGCAAGGAGAAAACTAATTCGGTCACTCTGAGGGATTCGATTTGAGGTTCTGGAACATTTCCACTCTTCTTCTGATTCTAGACTCCTCAAGCTGACCTGGATGCGGAACGAAGCCCTTTCGATGTGCGACATCATGCATAGTTGCGTATCGGCTTCACAAAGAATTGGCTCCCCCCAAACCGACTTCAGAAAACCGGTGGGAACAGCGCTAGACTACTGAGTGGAATTACAGTAAGCCGGCGTCGCCGTCGTCAGTTTCTTATGTGCGAGCGTTCGTAGCCTACGCTACCGTTGCAAGTGGATTCACTCGAAGCTCCCGCTCTAGGTCGAAGCAGCCCAGCCAAGTACGCTCAAGCTGACAGGGATGATTGTCTGACACAGTCCCCTGGCTCGACGACACCAACAAAATACGTATCGATTGAGACGGAACTCTCAGATCGGTCTATATTGCATGGCAAAGAATGTCTCCAACGGCTGCGGGGAAATATTGTTCCTTCGATCTTCTGCTCTTATTCAGATCGAGTTCGCTCACGTTGCGCGCTCTTCTACTCGTGACTCGTTACCAAGCCGAACAGAAAATGAGCTCGGTCGAGTGCGAAACTCTGGCGGGTTTCGGGAACGCACTGGATTCGAATAAGGTGGTCCAAAAATAAACGGTGGTCCCGAGGCCGGAAGAACGTCGCTCGTCCTTTCCCGGCACTCGCTGATCGAGAAGTGATCGGATGTCATTAGTCAATCCGGTCCACCGTGGAGCGGGGGAACACGCTGACTTTCTGATCGACGAGTGCCGGATGTGGATGAGTTTTTTTCCAATGAATATACAAGGATAAGTGACAGACTGGAGTCTTTCCGAATCAACACGGAGTGGACTCAGATAGATTGCCACATGCATGGAAACGGCAGCATCGCGGGTTCGCCATCATCGTCTATGTTCTGGGATATTTGCGATTGAGCTCGGAGAATATCCGTGGATGATTGATTCATTCGCGAAGGAATGCAACACGGGATCAGTGCTTATTGGGGCGGTGAGAGTCCGTCCGTAGTCCATGGGTCTTGGCAGAGCATTTTACTGCGCGAGGAGTCTAGGCCTAAATGCTTAGTAACAATTGCTGAAACCTTTGATAGGCCCATTCTTAGATACACAGATGGATGGATGCTTAGATAATTCGCGGACTGGCAGGTCAAAAGGGTCCCGTTCATAACGCCATCTTATATTGACGTTATCATGTTATCGTATTTATCTCATCTCGTGTCGCTGTCGTTCCGGTGAAAGCTGCCAGATAAAACAAAGGCATGGCGAGCGTCAAACTTTCGGCTCGAGTGGAACACAGTCTCTGCCGAAAGTCCGGTCGTGGATGCCTTCAAGTCACCTGATATCCACCAATCACCGAGAGCACGGGCTACGGGTAGCTGCAACCGATGGGATCTCAACTCAGAATTGTGGGGCTTAGCTCATGAATCGAGCGACGGAAACGTAGGATAGAGCGATCTTGGCGGTATGGTCAAAGCCCTACAATGCATCCCATCCCGCCTCTAATATTCCGATAGCTAGGTTGCACGCCTCAACCTCGTTTTGTTCCTCGAAACGGACACACATATACAGAGGATCGATTCGTATCGATAGAAATTCGGTGGGAGGCATACGCTGGGAAAATGCGAAGAACGGAGGGAAGATGAGCTCGAGGAGAAGCTCCCTTTCTCATATGATCACTCAATTCCTGGCCTCCGGGAGCTCTAGAGTCGAGTAATTTTGCGCGGAACTTGCTTTATAATAATCGTTCCATCGTAGCTAAGGAGGTATGATGTTGTCACTCAGATTATTCATTGCGAATATTTCGATATCTTCCAGACTTCGTGACGTCTCTATCCTACCAGCTGGTCGTCTATAATTTCTCGCCGACGATTCTTGAAAGGGGTCCAAGGGTTGTTGAAGACGTCGAGGGCGCCCTGAAGTTCGCCTTGAAACCTGCTCTCATTGCGTGTGCCGCTCGAAGGTTCTCTGGTTGAGTTCCGCTGGACTCCGACCTCCTCTCTGTGCGTTTCCCATGCCCCAGGTAGCAAAGTTCACAATATGCTGCATCCAATTGAGGTAGTGAGCGGGAAATCTTCAACCGGAAGAGGGACGACGGAGCCTCAAGGTGATGAAACTCATACGTATGGAAAGTGAGACTTCGAAATGCACAAGTCATGCCTTTCTTCCGCGCTAAGGAAAAATGTATGGAGGGCAGAAAGCAAAGAACGTTGATGCTTAGCAACGGAGAGTAAAGGCTCCGCCTCAGTCCGCTAGTTAGCGGGTCCGAATCGCGATCCTTCCTAGAGAAGAATTCGAACAATCGTCTTGGAGTGGAATTCCTCGACTCGGCAATCGCACAACCGGAAGATTAGCGATAGCAGTCATCGTGAGTGTTCCCATCTTAAACTTTGAAACCACTTTGCGCGAATGAACAGACGAGCGCTGGGCCCTTGCGTCGAAGAAAGAATCACCGAATTCTGAGGGTTTCGCAAGTTCCGAATGTTATTTCTCCCCAGGCTCCCTTGATCGTCTAGGATCTGCCGTGTCGGATGAAAATCTATGAAGCAGCGAGGGCGCACAGTGTCTTGCCTGGGACTAAAGTGAACTCTTGGGGATCTTCGGTCGCGGGGCCTTTCCTGCAAACCTATGATTCCAGTCCCTATCTGGTCAATTGTCCAGATGAGTCGACGACACCTATGGAGCCGCCGCACCGACGATTGCAGCCCCGGCGGCAAGAGACGAAGTTTGAGCTTACTTGAACGAGATCACCGGACACCAGCTGAAACGCGAAGCTCGAGCTCCTCGCGGTCCGCTAAAGATTTCAATATTTCGTCAGCGTTGATACCAGACACCACTTGCCTATGAACAGCATCCGCTTCGACGCTCAGTCAGATGACGTATTTTGTA